GAAGCATGGTTGCACAAGCATCATGATATGGGGATGTTTCTCATACTACGGTGTTGGGCCTATTTATTGCATAGCAGGTATCATGGATCAGTGTGAATACATCAGAATACTTGAAGAGGTCATGCTGCCTTATGCTGAAGAGGAAATGCCCTTGAAATGGGTGTTCCAACAAGACAACGACCCCAAAACACACCAGTAAACGTGCAACATCTTGGTTCCAGACCAACAAGATTGACGTTATGGAGTGGCCAGCCCAATCCCCGGACTTAATCCAATAGAAAACTTGTGGGGTGACATCAAAAATGCAGTTTCTGAGGCAAAACCAAGAAATAGAGAAGAACTGTGGAATGTAGTCCAATCATCCTGGGCTGGAATACCTGTTCACAGGTGCCAGAAGTTGGTTGACTCCATGCAACACAGATGTACAGCAGTTCTCAGAAACAGTGCGCATACAACTAAATATTAAGTGATTCAAAGGAAAGCAAAATCTTCAAACATTTTTCAGTCTAATATTCACTTTTCTTCAATTTTTTTAGAGGAACAACACAAATTTGATATATTTTTCTTCATGTTTTGATTTGGAATAGAATGTGTAGTGTTTCCAATGCATTTGTGTGTATGAAAATAAAAGCTATTAGAAGGATTTTGAGCTTTATTCACTTTTTTCAACACACTGCTATTATTTTGAACACAACTGTACATTTGTTCGGTCATTTACAGCCCCTTTCAGTCATAAAAAACAAAGATCAGATTGGAAAGCAACCTATTGTCACCAGCACTGAGATCATTCCATGGTTTTGTCATTTCTTCATTTTTGATCAAAAACGGATTGCAAAGTGTTAAATTTTTATATGCAAGTACAAGTACAAATACTCACTGGTTAGTAGTTTTTAACTTGTGTAAGTTCCGAACTTCTGCAGCTGGAGGATTAAATACTATTCATACAGTACATTTTAATTTTTGTTCATATCAAAACAATGTCACTTTAAAATAAATGATTTCATATTTTTGTGAGAAGTAAACTGTGATTGTATGTCGGTGCAATTTGTATCCAGCTCTGACACTTCCTGCTGGTTGTAAAGAAACCAATTGTATGATGCTGTAACTTACCCTCTATAATTCCAATGTAGGAATGTTTTGGTTACTGTCCCTAGCAATATGTGTTAGATGTACTACTTTTTATAAACTGAAAAAAGTTAACTTTTCTTTCCTGGTTCTGGATTCTGCCCCATCATAGGCAACATTTTTTACACTGTTCTAAAACACAGAGAACTAAATCTACCCATACTGATGTTACCACCATTATGTCAGTACTGATAAATTCTAAAATCCAGGTTCAAAAAACCATCCTTAACACACTCTGTAAGTGAAGGGTAAATCTGGACATAGTTTTTTTTTTTTTTTTTTGTTTAAGCAGCAGGCTGAATGAAAAAAATCAACAAATTCCTCCATCCACAGAAATGAGGTAGATGGAGGAATCCCTGCCAGGACATTGTATTCTGACAGTGGGAGACTCCTCTCTCAGAATACACTATTAAGTGGCTGCAGCCTCCGACTGAGATAAGTTTTTCAATATATTGTTTGACAGAAGCCAGCTGAATTATCAGCTCTTGTCAAATGGCAATAACTACACATGGATTGAAATTCGACCGGTCCCTGTTGAAGCAGCTGAATTCTGATCCATCTATGGCCAGTTTACGGTAATCCTACAGGGCAGCAAATTTTCTAATGCTAGTTTAACAGAGGGAGGAATGACATCTGAGTGTATTAGAGTGATGTCTGAAATATTCATGCAGAAAGTTTGTGTTTTCATGTCCTTATAGTTTGCAAACTCAGAGCTTTTAATGTATTGATTCTTAAAGGGATGGTCCATCCAAAGCTCAATTTTTAGTTTTTGGTAGATGTTAAACCGTTTGATACCTTACCAGTTTCTTATATCTTTTATGGACTCAGTTGGGGAGATCTCTGCCTTCAGCTCCCGGGTCTGCATGTGGTTATTATTAGAGGTTATTACTCTCCCCATTGGATTTGTTCTTTATTTTATCTTGTGGAAAGTGCATTAGGAAGCACTGTAACCGTAAAAAAAAAATTGCAGATGGACAGGAACATAGAGGATTAGCCAGTACATCTCACTGTTGGAGTGTTTAAGACATACAAGAAGCCAAGGGCTGTATAACTAAAATACCACATTTGGGTAGACTAAAAAAGAAAAAGCCTGCGGTGAAAGAATATGGAGGCTTCCACCATGGACCCCCTTCTCCTAAATACACTAGTTCTCATACTGTTCTAATGGTTTTGATTAGAGATGAGTGAATCGAACCAGGCGAAGTGGAATTCGTTTCGAATTTCAGGAAAATTGTAAAATGTGAATGTCAGAGAACTGTCAGAAATAGCGGAGCTCTGCAGATACACTTAGCAGAGCTCTGCAGATACACTTTTTGCCGGCTTGGAATTCTTCTTATTTTCATCCTACTTCTTCTTCTTCTTCATCCTCATCCTCAGAAGAAGAAGAGGATGAGGATGAAGAAGAAGAAGAAGTAGGATGAAAATAAGAAGAATTCCAAGCCGGGAAAAAGTGTATCTGTCAGAAATAGAGGAGCTCTGCAGATACACTTTTTGCCGGCTTGGAATTCTTCTTATTTTCATCCTACTTCTTCTTCTTCTTCATCCTCATCCCTCTTCTTCTTCTTCTGAGGATGAGGATGAAGAAGAAGAAGAAGAAGAAGTAGGATGAAAATAAGAAGAATTCCAAGCCGGCAAAAAGTGTATCTGCAGAGCTCCGCTAAGTGTATCTGCAGAGCTCCGCTAAGAAATAGCGGGCAGATACACTTTTTGCCGGCTTGGAATTCTCCTTCTTCTCATCCTTCTTCTTCTTCTCATCCTTCTTCTTCTTCTCATCCTTCTCCTTCTTCTCATCCTTCTTCTTCTTCTCATCCTTCTTCTTCTTCTCATCCTTCTTCTTCTTCTCATCCTTCTCCTTCTTCTCATCCTTCTTCTTCTTCTCATCCTTCTTCTTCTTCTCATCTTCTCTCTTCTTCTTCTTCTCATCCTTCTTATTCTTCTTCTCATCTTCTTCTTCTCATCTTCTTCTTCTTCTCATCCTTCTTCTTCTTCTTCTCATCCTTCTTCTTCTTCTTCTCATCCTTCTTCTTCTTCTTCTCATCCTTCTCTTCTTCTTCTCATCCTTCTTCTTCTCATCCTTCTCCTTCTTCTCATCCTTCTTCTTCTCATCCTTCTCCTTCTTCTCATCCTTCTTCATCCTTCTCCTTCTTCTCATCCTTCTTCTCATCCTTCTTCTTCTTCTCATCCTTCTCCTTCTTCTCATCCTTCTCCTTCTCCTTCTTCTCATCCTTCTCCTTCTTCTCATCCTTCTCCTTCTCCTTCTTCTCATCCTTCTCCTTCTTCTCATCCTTCTCCTTCTCCTTCTCCTCATCCTTCTCCTTCTTCTCATCCTTCTCCTTCTCCTTCTCCTTCCTCATCTCCAAGGGCATTTAAATTAAAGGTACAGTGTTCTGCACTAATATAAAGGCTCTCTGAAGCCTAGAAACCCTTTTTATAAGTTAAATTCGCAGCGAATAAATTCGCATCGAATCGAATTTCTTCCTCAAATTCGGCGAATCAGCCGAATCAAATTTTTGAATAATTCGCTCATCTCTAGTTTTGATGCTTACAGAGGCACTGACCCAGAACAACTGTGCAGATCAGGCAATCTGACTTACTAGCATGAATGAAAGTATAACTAAAGGCAAAACTTTTTTTTTTTTTTTTAGTTGGGCACCTGTTAGGGAGATTCACTCTCTCTATTTATCCTGTTTACCATTATTATTGAAAGTGAGAGTAAAATTAACTCCACATTTTGTGTTGTCCCCAGAAAAGTAATAGAGAGGAAATCTTGCAATGATGACACTGTTCTGGTGACACGGGAGTCCCAAAGAAATTTCCTTAAGTTACAGAGATTTTTTTCATTTGTTTTGGCTATGGGGCAGGAAGAGAAGGTAAATCTCCCCAGTGGGACACAGATGGCAAAAAAAATAAACGGACAGACATTATAACTCTCCCTTACTCTATCTAAAATGAAAAAAAAAAGTTTGCCTATAGTTAAATCTTTAATGTTCTGCCTCCGTGTATCCAAACATAAAAAAATGCCAGAAACAGCATCTATATCTTTCTAACTGCTGGTTTCTTTTAAAGTGAAACTATGTAATATCACAATTTGCTAGTGAACTGTGATTTCACCGTGTATGTAAACCCTATATCTCGTTTTCATATATTGGCCTCACTGCACACAGTTTTTGATTAGTAAATAATTTTTTGAATCTTCTTAAAAGCTTCTTACCTATATACACAGCACTTCCACCAACAACACTGCTGTCATGAAATCAGTTCTGGCATTTTCAGGCCATTATGTGAGCCTCAGAACGTGTTTGTTTTGGTCTTCCAGTATCTCATCAAGGAGCTTGGAGACCAAAATCAAAGGGCTGTGACTTTCCTGCTTTAAAGCCTTGGTCAACTGCCGTGTGGCGATTTATGAAGAAAAAAGGCAGGAAGATAGAATAAAAGGATCTCTTTCTTACCCAAGAGTACAACTTCTGCTCAGTCATTTGTAGACAGCGCTTTTAGTATAGGTTGCATTGATGACTCTGTTTGCCATAGAGATGCTGAAGACATAGATGCTCATTTCATGTATATACAGTATATATTATTTCCAGACTGCCAAATAGAGGTATATGCAGGGTTATAAGATCTACATGAATGGTATTCAACCTTTATGTTTTGCCTTGAGACTTTTAGTTTTGCCTCTGAGCTGTAACTGGTACACTTTTAATGTCTCCATACCTGGTAAGAGAACCAATGTGAGACTTTGTGGCTTGTGACGCAGATCCTAGCTGTACATTTTTTTGCTATAAATCTTACACGCCTCTAGCGCAAAAACGATAAAACATTTCCATCCTGTCAAGCTGCGGTTGGTTTAATATGTCTGTCCTTTCTTCCTTACACAGTGAGTAGTTTCTCAGAGCACTTAGAACACATAAATGGAAGGAGCGAGAGTGTGGACAGTTCAGATAATTCCTCAAAGCCCTCCAATGACAGCTCTTCTCATATGGCTCGCCAGCACTTAGAAAACACAGAGAAGCAGAGAATATTGGGGAAAGTCACTAAATCCATTTCTGCAAGTGCTCTGTCCCTCATGATACCTGGAGGTAGAATCATACATCCTCAGCATGATATCTGTTGACTTTGCATGTCTTTCCACCATTTGTCAGCCATTATTGCTGCAAGCTTTCCATTACACACCTTTCTTTCAAAATGTCTGTAACCACACATACATTAGGGGAATTGGTTGGATATTGTCCACACATTTTATAGGAAAACAGAAAAAGGTCCAGGCACTATTAGATGATCACATCCAAAAATTGTATTAAAAGTTTTTATTTTATTATGTCATTAAATTCCTAACAGCAAAAGAAACTGAAATAAAACAATCCATTAAACTGTAAACAGCAACGCATTTCACCCAACTGGGTCTTCCTCTATGTTGATAGGACTTTAATGATGATGAAAAAATGGAGTTTTGATAGTATTTTTGAATATGATGTTTCAGTCTTGCCTGGTTCTATGATAAGGGATGTAGATATTGCATCTGCACAGAATTCATATCAAATCCCATGAGAATTGGGTGAGCGGATATTGCTTTCTTTTTATAAAATAGTGAGGGAGGCATTACACTAGCTTTGTAAAATATTAGTAAAAATCATATACTGTATGTACATGCCCAGATAAAGGAAAAACATTGAATTTATACTTTGTTTTATTGCGAAGGTTGTTTCTATGCACTTCTTGTAGGTGGTGGGGGGGGCTTCATCACTCTTCATTGATTATCTAGCCACCCTGGCCGAAGTTGTCAAAGCACATTCTAAACTGTAGTTGCTTGTTAAACTGTATGGGTATCCTTGTTGCAGATCATTGTATGCCTGAAAATATTTCCAAGAAAGGACAGAAAAAACTTCACATAACCCTCAGGTGTTTGTGTACATTTCCAGAGCCTAGTACTCTAGAACATATGCTACCACCTACACTCTTTTTATAGTAAAGCTCTTTAATAGTCGTACCTTCATTTCAAATTGCTCTCCCATTAAGAGAATAAAAGGGTCATCATGTGAGAGCCCCAAAACAGTTCATTATCAAACAGAAAAACTTACAGCACAGAATCTGTGTGCCATAAAGACATATTAATTGGCTCTTAGCTAATTTTGAGGGATCAGCAATTAAGCAGGTAGTACATTCCCATTACAGTTATAATACAATTTATTTGGTAGTTTGTTTTGCATTTGCTTCGCTTGTTGCCTACAGTAGAACATATTCTTTAGGAAACAAGTTAATTTTCTCAGAGAATACACTGTGAGGAATAGATTTTTTTTTCCACAGTAAATATTTCAAATTTGGAACATGTGTGAACTGGTAAAGATAACCTTTCTTTGGCAGAAATGCTAGCTACTTTTCTTGCCCCCTCATGGGACATACTTGTGCTCTTGTCATAACAAGTGAAGGTAATGGATCTTGTGATTTCTGGGTGTCTCTAATAAGCTTGACGGAAGTGACATTTCACATTTGCCCTCAAGTGTTGCTGCCTGCTGTCAGCCGATGGCTACTACAATGAAGACGCACAGAGGCACTGACGTGTAAAAGGAGGAGTGCAAGGCTCAGTCTTCTCAGCTTTTGCTTTAGTTCGGTTTGGAAGATAAAGCACCTTCTCTGTGATGCTAAATTGAATCTGCTTTCACATTTACTGATACCTAACGTTTTTAATACTGTAACAGGCAGTGCAATTTTATTGACTGCTTAGATTTATCAGTTAGTGTAGCACCTTGTTGAGTAATTTTATTTTAGGTACAATACAAGGTGTGTCCAGAAACTAATGAGAATGATATTTTAAAAATCATTTTATTGAAAAATTTTCCAATTGAACATTGTCTCCTTTAAAGTATGCACCTTGTGAGTGTACACAATGCTCCCAGCGATTTTTACATTCTTGATAGCATCCCTAGAAGTCTTCAAGTGGGATGGCGTTCAGAGCCTGCATAGTGGCTCTTTGGACTTTGTCCACACTACCAAAATGGTGTCCTTTCAAACCTTTCTTCATCTTTGGGAATATGAAAAGGTCGCAAGGAGCCAAGTCAAAGTTGTGGGGTGGATGGGGAAGCACCTTGATGTGTTTTTCAGCCAAAAACTCTCTGACAGCCAAAGCACTGTTACTCAGTGCGTTGTCATGGTGAAGGATCCAAGTTGAGCAGGTCTCAGGAAGCACATGAAAAACTGTCTCAAACAACCAAGAACTTCCAGGTAAAATATTTGATTCACAGTTTGACCAGTAGGTACAAATTCCTTAAGGACAATTCCATGTGAATAAAAAAAAACAATAACCATTGATTTGACTTTTGATTTGCTCATACAAGCTTTCTTGGGGCGAGGTGACGTGGGTGTGTGCCATTCTGAACTTTGTTTCTTTGTCTTGGGATTGTACCCAAGCACCCAGAATTCATCTCCTGTGATCACTTGACTCAAAAAAATCAGGCTCTCTTTCCAAATGGGCCAACAGGTCTTGGCAGACAAGTTGATGGTGTTCCTTCTGATCTGGTGACAATTTCTTTGGAAAAAGTTTTTCACATAATTTTCTTATGTTCAAATCCCGAGTCATGATTTCATGAACAATTGACTTGGTAATTCCCGTTTCCTCTGTAATCATTCTGATAGTGAACTGTCGGTCACGGTTGAGAACAAACCTCGCTGCACCCACATTCTGTTCTATTTTTGACAAAGAGGGGCTCCCTGATCATTTTTCATCTTCAACACCTAATCCTTTCTTGAAGGCCTTATGCTATCAATATACGTGCGCAGATGATAGCGCAGCTTCTCCATTAACTTTCCTCACTATTTGCAATGCACTTTTACCCAATTTCACTCAAAATTTTATTATGTACTGCTGTTCCAAACTCACTTTCATTTTTCTTAATACGAGGCACTTGAACAGGGTGTCACAAAAAAGAATGTCCAAACTGACAGGGCTGGAATGCAACTGATAAGTGTTCTAACGTATACCTGGCACCCCACCTCAAGTAACCTCGGCCAGCTTCTCCCTTTACAGAGCCTTTCTCGAAATTAGGAACTTCATTCTCAATATATTCTGGACACACCTTGTATGTCTGGCAATAGATCCAAAGTAACATAGTAGATGTTTTATGAGAAAAAAAAAAAAAAAAAAAGTCAGCTTTAGAAACATTGCTAATTGTTTCATTGAAGGATTACTAAATTTTGTGGAAAACATACCATTTTTGTATTTCTTCAGACCAGGTTCTGCTTTGTCTTGTCAGTCTTTTATCAGCATTGTTACTCCTGCTGGCTTGTCATATGTCTTGGCACAGAGTTACCATTGTTGTATTTTAGGAAGGCGTGATAAGAGAAATGTCAAGGTTCAATGTAATGGCTGTGATTTGTATGTAACAAGATAGTGACATTTCATAAGCTGCAGGGCTGTGCTTGGGCATTCTATCACCCTAAAACTGGTAGTATTGGGTCACTAGATGATACAGTTTTTATAGAATAAATAGTAGCATAATTTGTATCCATTTTAATATTCATTGTGAAGGTATGGCAGCTCTTGTCATATGCTAACTAGGTACACCTTCATGTAGTTGTCATACACATTTTTTTTTGTATAAGCCTGCTGTGCTTCCAAAAATCTTCCTGCAATGTTTGAAGTGCTGTGCATTATTTTCAAGTTCACATCTTACCTCATCGTACAGTACATCACCTGCATGATTTAATTCTCTTGATATGAAGCTTTCCAGCCATCTTCTTCTCCACTGCTTGGTTGTGTATTATTACCTAGTACATGCAGTGTGCCATGGGTTAAAGGTTTAGAGTTTTTCTTCCAGATGTGTACAGCGTGTCTCCATTGGGAAGTCCCGTTTCTCCGCTCTCTATGTCATCAGATCCGTCATCAAGAGACTCCTCCCCCAGTCGCGATTCTTCTATCTCTTCCTTCAGTCCAAGGCAGCCAATCGTTATACAGAGTTCTGGCAAAAAGTTTGGTTTCACTCTCCAGGCGATCAGAGTGTTTGTAGGTGACAGCGATATCTACACTGTGCACCATATTGTCTGGGTAAATCTTCTTACTCTTCATGTGCTTGTGTTTTTGTCTCTCTGCTAAGAAATGTGCTTTGCCTGCTATTGATTTTATTTACATGTGTTTGCTTTTCATGCAGAGTGTTGAAGAAGGAAGCCCTGCCTACCAGGCTGGTCTTAAAGCTGGAGATCTTATCACTCATATAAATGATGAGCCAGTACATGGGCTTGTGCACACTGAGGTTATAGAACTCCTCCTTAAGGTAAATCTTGACTTTCTAACAATAAGGTGTGTTAGTAATGGTATTATTTCAGCATTTGCATCTTGTTCTTAAAGGTTATTTTGTTTTGCATTTGCCTATTAAAACATAGTTAAAATATGGAAGCCCAGATTCCCTAAAGAAATGGAGCAACTGACTGTTAGCTATATATTTTATTGACCTTGTTTTGTATTCATATAAAAATAAATTTAGCCCCTGGTGGTCAGCTGTCTATTGCATTGACATTGAATTTTGGTGACCTAAAGAAACTGAGCCCTTGACTGATAGCTGCCATTTTAATTGGTACTGGAATGTGGTGTTGTAAAGAAACTGAGACCCCATACAGGGAAATTGAGGGTGCCGCTTCAGGCTGTAGTAGGTCCGTATATGCTGACAGCCTCTGGGAGTGCAGGCAGGGAAAGGGTTTGTCTCAGCTCCATAGAAGTCAGTGAAGAAGGAAATGAAGTCCTAGGAGCTGCACATTACACACAACCCTCATATGGGAAACATGACTAACTCGTGGGTGGGTGAAACATGTCGGGGCATGGCCTGGATGGAGTCTAGGCTGAGGCTTTTTCCACTCTAAATATATGGATTTTGTGTAAAGAAACTGAGCCACTGTCTGTTAGCGGTCTATTTTTATTGGTAATAGATTGTGGCATCCTGAAACAAATGAGCCATTGACTGTTAGGTGTCTGTTTCATGAGGACAACCAATTATAACCACTTATATGTAAAAAGTAAAAATACAGTCTTTGTACATAATAAAACATATCATTTTAAAATTACATTATGGCTCAAAAATTGTACATCCTAATTACAGGGCATTTTAGCATTACAACAAACCCATATACAATATAACCCAGTCAGGGCTACAGTTATGAGTACTGCATCAAAAGAATACTCACAACTGTAGCCCCAACCAGGTTAAAGTATAGGTTTGTTGTAATGTTAAAAATGTCTTGTCATTACGATGTACAATTTTTCAGCCATGATGTCATTTTAGATTTTTATGTTTTATGATGTACAAATAAAGAAAATATTTTTACTTTTCATATATAAGTGGTCATAATTGGTTGCCCTTAAAGTCCCATTGGAAAAATACAAAGGTTTGGTTGCAGTGAGTAAAGGACGGTGACAATATGAGTTACTCTCAAAGTTTCAGTTTGATTAAAGGTGTCTAATTGATGTTGGATTGTGGCCGTTCTAAAGAAATTGTGTCCCTGACTGTTAGCTGTCTATTTCATTGACATTGTATTCTGTACAATAGCACATTTGTTTGAGTTAAAGTTTGTTGGAACTACGGAAAATGGTTTCACCAACAGTTCTGTAACAATAGATTAGGTTACTGTAAAGGGTAATGACCAGAATTAAAACTTTGGATTTGCATTATATACTCCCCTGAATGACTTCCGTTACCACATTGAGTGAAGATCCTGCTCTATGTGTATCTAGTAAGATCTGTTACTATGGACCAACAGACATAACTGTTACTATGGAACATGGGCATCAATGAATTGGATACAGTTTCCTTTTTTCCTTTCTGTAGTACCTCCTCTGGGAGTATCTGAAATAGCCAGCTGTTTTGTAAATTGAGCCATTTGATCTTTTTGATGGCCTCTCCTGTGAGTAGTTACCCTAACAGTCAGGTAACTTAAGTAGATTTATGTGTGCATTTTCAAGTCTACAGTAAAAATTTGAGAGATACCATTAAGACTTGAAGCATTGATTAGTTTTTGCCCATTATCAACCATCCAAACCATGAGCCTGATGAGCATCCATAGATACAGTACATGATGTACTAGGTTCACACTGCTTAGCTGAAATCTAGTTAGAGGACTGCTGCTTTCTATAGGAATTACAAAAGCTGTTATCAAGCTTCTAGTCATAAATGTGGAAGATAGCGTGTGTATTATTTCTAATATGCAGTCTCATATATTACGATTGGTTGGCAGAGTGGCAGCAAGGTGGCAATCACCACAACCTCCTTTGAGAATACGTCGATAAAAACAGGCCCTGCAAGAAGGAACAGTTATAGAAGCCGGATGGTGAGGCGCAGCAAGAAGTCCAAGAAGAAAGAGAATATGGAACGGTGAGTTGTAGCCAGTTTACATTTCATAGATATGAAGTACTATGCAGTTGCTTTAGAAGATTTTTTTTCACCTATAGGAGAACTTCCTAAAGTCTTTGATAATATTGAGCTGTAGAACTAGTATTGTATTGATGTTTAAATGTATATATCCCAGGTGAGGACAAAATAGCATAAACTGAGATGCAGTAACATATTCATTTCTAGAACTTGTTTAAATAATTTAGTGAATAAGCTGAAGGTCAATGAAAGGTTGATGAGACTCCTCTAACATCCAGGCTTGGATCATGATCAGTTGCAGTCATGTGCGCTGCTCTATGCATATTATAAATCTTATAGTTCCTAGTCCATCTTGATCATGATGAATTAACATAGCCACCCTCTGACAGAAAGTCAGATCGCAGCAGCAGTAAAAAAAAAAAAGGAATTTGAAGTAGGCTGAGGGCAATAGAAGGTACTTTTTCCAATTAAGGATTTTATACTTGAATAGATTTTTTTTTTTTTTACTTGAACCAGAGTTTAGCATCTCTTAAAGCCTGTGCAATTCTCCAGCATTATTTCCTACACACCACACTTGTGTACTTACTGTAACTTTTAGAAGTCATTCTAATATTTTTCACTGTTGTATATATTTTTGTATACCTCTAAATGAAGGAAACCTACTTGTTAAAAAATTGTTAAAAATAAAAACTTGTTAAAAAAAAGTGGAAGCAATCATAACACCTCTAAATATGGTTACTGTAAATGGGGGCATTTATAAATCACTGGGCCGCTGGCAAAGTAACTGATTCATCAGTAAACTAGATAGTGCCATTTTTCCTTTCTTGGGGAAAGGGGGGGGTGCCTATGAAAGTTTGTTGTAAAAATGTGTGTTCACATCATGCCTCGACTCGAACACTGACTTAAAAACAGTAGGTTTTGGCTGAGAACAAACACCCCAGGTTATTTACTGGCCTTATGAGAGTGCTTGGCCAAGGTGCTTATTTTGCAGTTTTAGCTTGGAAATTTTAAAATGCTCTAAATGGCTGGCACACTTTTTGTGTGTAAAAGTGGTGCATCCACTATATTACTGCTGAATGGTGCCTTTTTTGTACTGTACCATATTTTCCTGTGTTTTTTTTTTCATGTATTTTTGTGTACTCTTAAAATATCCTACAATTCTTCATATTAATGTGGTTGTTCTATATAAACTTGGTTTTATTGCTACATAATTTGAATAAAAAAAATTCTTGCAAGGTCATTTGAAATAAAACATACAGTTGCAAAATTAATCTGTAGAATGTGATTAATTGTGAGCATATAATTTTCTTTTTCAGAAGGAGGTCCTTTTTCAAAAAACTGACCAAGCAGCCATCTCCTCTGATTCACACAAGTCGACTAGCTTCTCCTGCTTAAACCGCTCCCTGTCTTCTGGAGAGAGCTTACCTGCATCACCCACCCACAGCTTGTCACCCAGATCTCCTACTCCCAGCTGCCGCTCGACTCCTGACTTCCCATCAGGTGAGACATTAATACACATTTAAGCAACTGGGCTTCTTAGATGTAGTAATGAGAAAGGGTAGTCCAGCATTTAAAAATATAAAAAATTTGACTTTTGCTGCAGTACTTGACTCCTCTCTGGTGCTGTTCGCCACAGATTTGCCAAGTTGAATGACACCCAGCATTATTCAGTCATGGATTTCAGTCTTTGGGCCGCCCTCTGATGAGGGTGACCACAGTGCCCTGCATTTGCAATTCGATAATGCAGAGAATAGCACTGATGGCTATAATTGTATTTTCATACAAATCCATTATGTTGATTTTAGCAGCCAACTGCAATAGTCCTTACTTTAAAAAAAAAAAATGTGTTATATGATATGGTATTGATTTTTTCCATATTCCCAAATGAATTGTTTGAGTTTGCATGAGTTGATTCATCACTCATCATTCATAGAATTAATTCATCATAAACACTGTTCTAACAATACAATAACAATAAGCACAAAAGTATAAAAAATCAAAAGGCAAAAATAAATGTAGGTAAACTGGATTTTTTTTTTTTTAATAGCAGACAGGGATTAGAACTCCTTGAGGTTTTTGTTTTCTTTTTCTTTTTTTGCTGTCTGTGTCCCTATTTGGGAAATGCACCTTCTCTGCATGTCTTGGTGACTGTTATATTTGGAGCGTTCACCAGAACAAGAACATAGGGAAATCTCCCAATGGGGACACTAGTTCTGGTGATCCTGGTGACTACCAGGGATTCCGTTCACTTTTGACATATTTCTACGTAAAACTTTTATCCCTACATAGATAACATAAACTAAGATGTTCAGACAGCTGCTAAGCACCTGCTGAGTGTCTACAGGGGAGCATCATTAAAGGTAGCTGAGGGAAATATAAAGCCACTAGCTGGTATTGAAAGGATTGCAGCAAAAACTGCTTTTGTTATCTTTTATTTGGTCCTTTGGAGTTCTATAATTTAATTTTTACACTGGAAACAAATGTGTATGAATCAGTGACGGAGAGCATATTTCTAGGTTTTTGGGACCTCCCATTTGCCTACTATATCCAAGTAAAATTATTTTCCTGGCTTTGTTGGAAAAAAAAAACAAAACATGGGAGACTAGTAATAAAGGGGCACATGGTGGGCATTACAATACATTCTAATTTTGTCTTTATTTTTGTTTGTAGGCACAAATTCTTCACAGAGTAGCTCTCCAAGTTCAAGTGCTCCTAATTCTCCAGCTGGCTCTGGGCATATAAGGCCTAGCACTCTACATGGGTTGGGACCAAAGCTTGGAGGACAGCGGTACAGGTCTGGAAGGCGGAAATCTGCAGGCAGTATACCTCTTTCTCCATTGGCAAGAACCCCATCACCTACTCCTCAGCCTCCCTCACCACAGCGCTCTCCATCACCATTGCACGGATACTCAGTGGGGAACTCAAAGGCAACACCCAATTTTCCAACAAAAATGCACTCTCCACCAACAATAGTAAGACATGTTGTTAGGCCCAAGAGTGCTGAACCCCCAAGGTCTCCACTGTTGAAAAGAGTTCAGTCAGAAGAAAAGCTCTCTCCATCCTATTGTTGTGAGAAAAAGCACTTATGTCCACGCAAGCACAATCTTGAAATAACCAAGGAAGAAGTTCATAAGCAAACACAACGTGATGTAACATTACAGAGCCTTGAGGAGAACACATGTGATATTCCCGCATCTACACGTGTTAGACCTGTAGAGCAAGGCTGTCTTAAGCGCCCAGCATCTCGAAAACTCGGGAGGCAAGAGTCACTGGATGAGCTGGATAAAGAAAAGCTAAAAGCCAAAATAGTCATAAAAAAGAAAGATATTTCAGAAAGACAAGACTTTCTTCTTAAACAAAACATAATATCAGATTTGCATAGTGAAATCCGACACCAGCTGACAGAAGCTGACAAAGATGACAAAGCACAATTAAAAAGATCAGCCATATCTGAGAATAAATTTCCTGCTTTCGACACTCGTCCAGGAGGCATTCTGTTCAAAGAAGCTCCCTGCAAGAGTATCAGTTCTCGCCCAAATGGCACCAGCCTTTCTTTGGATAGCCAATCATTCAGTCATAGCTCTCCAGTTGCTGAAACTGCCCACATGTCCTATGAACTCAAGAAAGGACCCACTTCCTCCTCCTCCTCCTCCTTGCAGGAGAAACTTGCCCATCCATCTGAAAAGGGTATAAAAGATGACCAGTTAGATAAACCTGCTACAGCAAACACTGATTACTTCAGGAAGAAAAAGTCATTTGAAGACAAAGATGGTAGTATTTGCCCAGTTTTAAAGCCTAAAATTGTTCCTGTATCTCATGAATGTATGCAGACAAAGCCTGCACACTTACAGACAGAATCTCTAGCCTTGCTAGATAACAGGACTTGTATGTCCAGTGTTCAGAGCTCTCCAGTTTCTTTTACACCCTTAAAAAATTCTAACAATAGAAGTGAAAGTAATGTAGATAAATCGACTGTTACAACCACAGAGACACCTGTGCGGAAAAGCCCTTCTGAATATAAGCTAGAAGCAAGGTCTGTTTCGTCCCTAAAGCCTATTGAAGGCACTTTAGACATAGCCCTGCTGTCAGGACCAAAGGTTACAAAAGCTGAACCTGATATTTGTAATATTCAAACAAAGTCTGATGAGCAGAGTCGAAACTTAAAGAGTGAAGGTCTAGATAACACAAATATGATATTTACCAAAACCAGCTCTAATTGCTCTGATATACCCATAGTGCAAAAGGGACCCTTGGAAGAAAAACTTTGTGAGCCTCTACAGCCTTACTGCCGCACTGCAAAGATTTGTCAAAACAAAGACACATCAGGCCTTAGAACAAAGGAAAATCTAGTATATGTGGCAAATCCTCTTCAAAGCCAGAGGATGAGTACAGTGCAGCCATCATCAAATTGTCCAGCAACTGAACAACTGTCTTCTTCTGTGAAAGCAGAAATGGTAAATCAGGAGGTGTCCTCTGTCAAGTGCTCAGTAGAGCAAAGACATAGTTCATCATCCACTGAAAGGACTTGTATGTTGAGGGATTCCATTGAGGATTTCTCTGCTACAACGCTGGCAGACTATAGCAACTCAGAAAAGAACACCTCAGCATTGAGATGTAAAGAAGAAGGAAATACGGAGACAGCAGTGTCCCAAATACCTCTTGATCATCAAAAATGTGTAAAAAAAATTGTTGATGCTTGTCGTCCCATTGAACTTGTCACTGCCAAAAGAATTTTGCAGAATGCAGAGCTCGCTCCTAAAAATCAGTATAGCCAAAATAAGTTGCAAGATGCTACTCCACAAAAAAGAGATTTGGTGAATGTAAAGAAGAATGGTGTAGAGGTCTCTTTTCTGAAAAAAGATACTTGCGTTTCCGACATTAAGCAGTCACCTACAGCTGCCAGTATCCCTTCTGTAACAAGTGTTAAAGCCCTTTCACCACTTAGAGAAGAGCAAAAAACAGTTTGCCCACAGCTTGTCAGCTCCCTTAACAAACCAAAAGTGATGGTGGAATCTAAGTCCAGTTTGGTAAAAATAGCCCTGTCTGAAAAAAGCATTTTAACACAAAACACTAAGCCAGGCTTGGTGGACCTACCAAATAATCAAAAAGCTACATGTAAAGCTGAGGGTTTTACACAAGCTGGCAGTGGATTAAATGTAGTTGCTGGAACTCCAATGCAAAATAAAGATACCATCAAAAAAGGATCCAGTTTAAGCTCTATATCCTCTAAGAACAGTATGAATACTAAGGACTCTACCAATGTATATCACTCTGAACACAGTGTCAATGTGACTGCAACAGTCAGGTCTGATGCTGCAAGCACTGTTAACCTTAAGGATTGTTCTGCAAAGACACATCTCAAAGAAAAAACAAGCGCACATCTGAAATTAACTAGAGCCAGTACTGTCAAAAGTTGTGTACAAAGTAGAGCTGTTCTTGATGTTGCAAATACTGGGCATCCACCGACTGACAGTGTTCAAGAAAATAAATGCACTGAAGCACTTTATGTTCAAAATGACAAGGGCAAAAAAGTTACTCCAGTTACCAGTAGAGAAACTAGAGAGGTAACTTTAGACAAGCAAAAGTCTAGCACCTCTCAGAATGTGATAGGAAAAGGAGACCAGAGGAATGCACTGTGTGATACCAAAAGCACTGCCGGTGCTGCTTTGCCCAAAGTTGGGAGTACGGACATCTCTTTATCCAAACCAGACATGGCCGAATGTCCTGTGAATGTTCGCAAGGATAAAGTGGAGCAGAATGTTAATACGAATGTTGATACTGTTAAATCAAAGAAGGATCTCCAAGAGATCACCAGCAGGTCTTGTCCTGCTACAAAAGAATGCAGCGCATCCAGTAAACCTGTCATTGAAAAACAAGTTTCTAGTACCACCATGCCGGGGTCAGTTCGGAGAGATCCACCTTCTTCTCCTAGCAAAAAGAACATCACAAAAAGTATACCCAAGCCACCAGCTGCACCTCTGGAGAATTCCCCGTCCCTTTCCTCAGATAAAGACTTAAAAGGACAGAAACGAGGAAAGGACAGTGTTTCACAGAGTAGTCTTCAAAAAAAGGCATCATAATTTGCCAGCACCTTCATTAAGACCTCTTTACTGTAGTGGCTGCTGCTAAATCAAGACTACTTTGATAACCAGCACTGTGTTGTGGTTTATTTGCATTTGTACCATGTTGTGTGTTAAAAAAAAAAAAAAAGCAATGGGGTTTGTACTCAAAATCAACCTGTAACTGGGTTGCGTTCGGGTACACTCTTAGAGGCTAAAAGATGTGCCTGTATTGTTTGTGACAGGGCAAGGGCTATGGGAAATAATGTCTCTGTAGAGAGTTAGTGTTGTATTTTTTGTTGAATGTAGAATGTACATTAGAGTGCTGAATTCCATTGTTTACTTTCGTATTGTACATTTTTTTTTCTTGTCGTTGACTAATTACAAAACTGAGATCAGAACCTCCCTCTTATCAGTGGCAAAACTGAAATGAAGAGAATGTTTTGGTGTTTCAATGAATTTTCAAAAGATTTTTTTTGAAAATGTGGTTACACCCAAGGTATCAATTTTGTGGCATTATTTTCACTTAATTAGTGTGGCCACTTTAAATTGTTAATGCAACAAATTATGTATATCTTGATTGAATATAAGCTTAGTGTTTTCAAACAGTCAACATCTTTTAGCTATCACGTTTGTCTCAGAAAGGGAGCCTTTAATAATGAGACTGTGTATTTCTAAGAGTAAAATGACCAAAAGTGCTTAAATGGTCACTATACAAAAAGCCATGTAAATAATATCAATCGGTGGTGTGTAGTAAGATGCAAATATGGTGTGTAAACTGTGCTCAAATCCTTTTGCCTAAATCTCTCATCTGAAAGTACCAATCTCAGCAATGTCCAGTTCAGCTGTCTTCACTTTGCTTTGGCTGTAAGAGATTTCCTGCATACATTTATGGGCTGACATCTGTTTGCGAGGGAGAATACAACACAGGGCATGGAGGTGAGCATAGTATCCACCTTGATCTGCCATGCTGAGCACTTTCAGTTGTCATCTCCTTGTAGCTCCTTTATTAGTGAGTTCCATAGATTTCTATGGATCCAACACTTAACCACAGGAAGAAAGACCTGAGTGAAGACTCAAGAACTGTTGGCTGAACTGGAACATCTAGAACCACCACTGATTGCTGTGCAGTGGGAAATACCCTTTAGGTATAGTCTAGTTTGCTGGTCTTTTGTGCCAAATAATTCACATGTAGCCAACGAAGATCAACTAGTACAAAAAGTAGATTTAGTGGAATAGAAGTGCTCCTCATAGATATCTGTCCTGTAGGTAAATTAACTGCAGATTTAACATATGCATTAAGTGGACAGTTTACCCATTGGGCTGTCAAAATAATGTATGTATCTTCAAATTTGGTGTGTTAATGGCATCCAGTTTTGCCTCCATTTCACAAGTGCAAAAATCATAACTCTGTATAACAAAAACTGTTTTCTCATACAGTTGTTGAATGTATATATATATTTTTGTTTTGTTTACTTCATAGGCTTAAAAGGGAAACTTGTTTTGAAGCATAAAAAGCAGCCTTTCTTATTAGTACACTTTTAGATGTTGATTCATAGCCGGGGCCTTACAATGTAGAGGTTTTGCTGTGCTGGGTTCACCTTTTTTGTAAGTGCATTAAATAACTCCATACATTTCATAGCATCTCCTTTTCGTGTATTATAAATATGTGAATAATGTAAAATAAAAATGTTTTTTGTGTAACACAGGGGCCATGTTAGAGCTACTTGGTGCTTGGAAGGTGATATTACTTTCTACCTTTTTGTAAAGCCTTATTTATATTTTATGTACTCATTCTCCATCACATTTGTTGAATCTCAATCCATAGCTGAAAAGATTTGAGCCAAATCTAAGCCATGGCGATACCATATAAATTTGTTCTAGTAGCATAATACAAATAGTATTGATGTGTTGTGGCCCACAGCAATCAGTTAAATGTTGACTTTCAGTGGTTTAGTAAATTCAGAGTAGGAGTGTTTTATCATAAGTCTCAGGCTGACCTTAAAATATTGCTCCTGTCTCATTTCCATTATAAGTCCTGTCCTGTGAAAAGCCTCTATTCCCCAGGTCATGGCTCTTTATGCTAGTATAAATAGCTAGCATGGCACTGCGCATTACTTTCTCCATTATTTATACTAGTAGAAGACTGTCAAGGGCAATGAATATAAAATCTGCACCTGCCTCATGATAGAAATGGTCCCGATACTCGATTATAGAAGTTGGTTTTTGATTGGTTGCTAGGAGTAAAACACATCTGTGCTCTCCACACTGTTATTCCATAAAACTCCAAGCATCCCTTCACTTTCATCCCTTATGATCTCTTCATACATTATACACTGTAGTTTTAATATCTTAGAAAGATATAAAAGGTCTGATGCAGTTCCCAATAACAGCCATCAGCTCAACCAATTACAACTTTCTCAATGCTTGCATTTGTATCAACAAAGTGTTTTTCACTGAGATCACATCATGGCAGACATCTGCAAGTGTATACGGTGCAGATCTGTGAGTTACCATGTCACACATCCACTGCAAAAGAGAAGACGACACAACAGAATAAGCATCCATCTGCCTCATCTCTACTGAGATTGTCACAACACACATTTTTTTGTTTCAGATTAGGAATCGTTTTTTGTGATGTGTGTGGTAGATATGTCGGTTTCAGTGTTTGCCATAATCAACTGCATGTTACATTCTTTTAGTGGACAGAGCAGTTTGTGGGATGTTGTCATGTTGTGGGAAACATACGCAGGGTCATGCTGAAAGTGAAGCTATGCCATAGAAAGACATCATGTTACATTTTTGTGTTTGGACAAACCTTTGACATGCCTAGTGAAGCTATCATATTTAGGAACTGGCACCGCTTTCCCCAAAGTACTATTATTAGGTTTGGGTTCTGCTGCTTTTGTATGAACTAGCAAACTTCGCTGTGGTAACACACAGGTTACAGCAGGCCATGGACATTTTTAGATCAACTAGGGTCTCTATAAAAGACTTGCCAGTCTGGGGCTGATTGACCATGACCTACAGTCCATTGCCAACAAGGGGTTCCATTTTTTTTCCGAGTATCATAGCAAAAATAATCTTACTCTTTAAGATTTTTAGGAGCAGCCTCGATTACCTTTGAAAAATCAAGACATCAAACACTAACCCAAGAATGCTCTTGGCTGGTGTGCAGTGATGGGATGGTTAGGATACCTTGTATTAATAGGATTTGACAAGCAACTCCCATTATCCCAGATAGGGGCAACCACAGAGCCCTGTAATTGTTGCTCTAGCTTTTGTAGAGGCTTTCAATTACCCTTGCCATGGTCATTGATGACTGGTTTCACATGAACAACTTGCGTGGATGGCCAACGAGTAAGTGATGACATTGGAGGTATATTGAAATTATGTTATTGCCCTACAAAGATATCATCACAATAATCACTCTACTGTAGCTCAACAGAGCAAAGGTGCACTCCTGTAACAGAGGCCATTGTAAAAAACCTTGCTTAATAGTTTTCAAAGTGTACCTGTTCATACTAAAAGAGAAATACTGTTTTCTAAACATGACTTTAAATATAAAAGGTAGTGTCTGGTTATAACTTATTACTGTTTCTGATGCCGGTGTTTGTGTACCGCCATCTTGTAATGCATCTTGCAAGGAATGTGGTCAGTGTGGGTGTTAGTTTCGATATAATTGTCAGCTCAACCTTGATACCTGAGTGCTAGGTAAAATGGCTGGCTTGGTGTTTTTTCTAGTTTTGAGTAATCTCACTCTGAGTGTTAGAAAGGACTAAGTCAACACAGGCTATGGTAGGGAAATTCTTAACTTTTGAGTATAGGGCCACTGTACGGCAGGATGTCCAACAATAATCAAAATTACCTTCTGATAGCATTTAGCAGTTATTTACCCCACAAAATATTACCGTCTTAGCGGATTGAAAAGCTGTTTTCATTTTCACGAGAAGAGTTTTCACCTCCCATTTATTAAATGTTTACAGATGTATGTACTGTGGGGTCATTCCCTCCACCTGTCAAGTTATTTTGTAGTCTTAAAGTACCCGATGTGTTAATGTCCAATTTGTCTGTGTTGACCTTACTACTAATGTAAGATATTTGTGTTACTGGTTAGTCTCTTCTATGTAATGGTTCTACGAACTGTGCTCCTTTTTCTAGTCTTACATGCTGTAGAAATAGCAGCTTAGTATCTGTGCAATAAGTGTTTGTTGTCTTAACTTTCTATAAAATGAAATACACCAGAAAAACACAAACTTATGAATGTCGTATTTGTTGTATACTGAACACATATTTATACTTCAGCTGCAAAGCATAACATTGAAATAAAAGGTCGGCATGAAGGTCAAAGCTTTTCAGACTGACAGTTCATTTCCCTAGATGCTCGCGGGTCAAGGCCACTAGTGTTTACTGCTTTTGGTCCCAAAATGTATGTTTTCTTGGAGACTCTACATTAACCAATGTGTGAAAAAGCACAATTTCAGGTACAAATAGTTAAAGTGACCCTGACGCTATACAAAAATATACCTGTAAATGGAGACTTTAAATACTTGCCTTTACTACTGCTCACATCGCCATATAGTCTGCTGGGAACTCAACAATTGGGCCATATCACTCTTCCCCACAGCTCCCGCTGATTCCTCTTGCTGACTTCTGTCTCACTATTATGTAACAGTGTGGAGGTTAGCAGAAAGAATTAGAGCTGCTAGGACAGAGGAGATCGGCCTGAAAGTGTCAGATTTCATGGGACAATTTTAACACTATTGAAGAAATGTTTGATGTCTTGGACAGTAGGAAAAGATTTTACGGGTATATTTTTTGGTAAAAAAAATGTTGGTAATTGGTAATTTTTTTTACAGAGAGAGGTGATTTAAAGCAAATTGCATTTAGAAAAAACTAACCTTATGAGTTAGGACACATAATCCATGGACTAGAGACCTGATTTTCAGATGCCTTTTTGTGCTATGTCCCTGGAGCTCTTGGATCTTTTAAAGCAGATCCCACATTTTCCTTAGTTTATA